GCCATTCGGGATTGCACCCATAGAGGGGGCTGGCCCTGCAGGGGGTGGCGGCCCTACCAGGTCGACAGCTTCGATACCTTACACCTGGGACAAGTTCGATGACCTGCCCTACCAGGTCGACAATTTCGATGCCCTGCCCTACAAGTTCGACAACGTCGATGAAGTTGACGGCCAAATTCACCTGTGGCCGTCTGCGCCCCACTGAACTCCCCCATGGGCCCCACTGCCTCCCTCCAGTCGCTGGGCGCAACCGCAGCGACGATGAAGAAATCCTTCAGGCCCTCGTCCCCCGCCTTCACGGCCGGGAGGATTGCCTTGGCCTCGCCGTCTGGGAAGAGCTTCACAATGTGCGCCATGACTGCTGCGCTAAGCTCGGCGGACACTGCACGCAAGTTCCCCCACCTCAGCTGTTTCACCCTAGCCTTGACCCACAACGGCCACCGAGCACAAGCGTGAGCGTGACAGGAAGTCGGGTCAGACCTCGGGCACAACAACCACCCACCATCCCCTAGGCTCCCCTCGCCTTGTCACTGCGTGCAGTCCGCGGGCTCCCTGCACTAGGCACGGGTAGGCGTAGGGACGGGCAAGGAAGGAGGGGGAGGGATGGAGATGCCATGGGCAGGCGGAGGGAATAGCGGGGTGTAGGGCAACAAAACATGGGGGGAGATGCGTAGGAGAGCCTCGGAGAGCATTCGCTTACCGTGGACGTCACGGGCGTTATGGGGCTGAGGCGGGGGGGAGTTGCCCCCTCCCTGGCAGTGTGCCCCCAAGACAACCGCAGCGCTCGCGAGCAACTTAGCTCTGTTGGGAGGTTCGGACGGCCCTTCTTTCCTGGGACCTGTTCTGGCTCGCCTGCTTGCGGCTGCTCCCCTCTCCCTCCTCCTCGTCTCCCACCCCTCCTCCCCTCCTCGCCCTCGCCTTGTCCCTGCTTGCTGTCTTCCTTCTGTTCCTTCTCGCCTGCCAGCCTGCCTGTTTCGTCCCGCCGGCTCTGGCCTCCCGTCTGCGCGTTTGCCGTCGTCTGCTTGCTTCTCGTTCCCTTTCTTCCTCTCCGTCGCTGTGCAGCACCGCTGCCAGGAGCCGGCGGCGCTGTAGCCAGTGCCCCCCCCCCGGACAATTCCGAGACCTTCGTCTCCTCTTCGTTGTGAGCTGGATGTCCGGCGCTTGCGCGAGGCGGGAGGTTCGGACGTGACGCCTGTGCGCACCACAATATGCCTGCGAACACCACGAGTGATTGTGACCACTGGGCGGCGAAGAGAGTGAGCACCAGTATGCTGGACTGGGTTAATACCGTGACAGCCTGTGAATATCCCTATTTGCCTCCGAGCACAACAAGCTTCTCTGGATCACACGAGTAGCCTGCGAGCACTAGAAGGCGCCTGTGAGCACCAACGTACACTGCCGACGACCACATGGCGAGGGAAGCCGGACCCTGCCAGGACCGCAATAGCCTGCGTGCGCTTCGCGGGTTCGTACCAACATGCTGGATCTTCAACCGCTACAATAGCCTTGGAGGGGATGATGATGATGCTGATGCTGCTGATGATTATGAGGATGATGATGCTGCTGATGATGATGGTGATGATGATGATGCTGATCATGGTGATAGAGAAGATGATAATGCTGCTGATGATGATTATGCTGCTTCTAGATGGATTATTCCGCTGATCAGTCCTCGAACGTTGATCCTTTCGCTGCGGCTCCTGGTTTCCTGCTCCGCAGGATGACTCTCCGAACGTCGAATTCAAGTGCCACTGCAGAACTGCCTGGCCAAACCCCATCTGATAACTCGTCAAAGTTCCATCTCCCCGCTCTTCCAAGCGGGCGACACTCCTCGGCAAGGTTAGTTAGGGCTCCGCCCCCGCATGGATGAACATATCCGCAGCTGGTGCGGTACCATAGTGGGATGTCATCATGGGCCACCGCGTGGTGGCTAGGGTGCGGTGTCCTGCCTCCAACTTGTAACCTCTCGTGGGCCGCTGGAACAGGCCCCGCGGGCGTGGTCGAGACTGCGGGAACCGCTATGGTGTGGCAGGGGGTCGTGAGCCATGTCGAAACACAGGCACGGCCATCAACTCGACAAACAAGAGGCTTTGAACTCCTGCTTCCCATGCGTACTGCAAGTATCTATGGGTAATTGGCACTTCCGGCTACAGCTTGTTGCACGGCACTGGACGAGCAGCACGCTTGGAGCCCCTTGCCCCTTGCCGCGCGGGCACGGCAATGTCGAATGCATCTGCGGGGCCGTGGTATGTTCATCACTGGCCGCAGCGCTTTGCAGCGGCGCGGCACAGCCGCCCTGTGCGCCGCAAGCCGAGGAAGGCAGCGGGCATGAGGGCGGCCAGAGTGTCGCTGCAGCAGATGGAGCGGGCACTATCCACGAGCAAGCTAGTCTGCGACGTCCCTTTGGGCGTTGGCGAGGAGATCAGCAACGTCCTGAATGAGGCAGCCTGCGGCGACGAGGTCCCAACGGGCGGCGAATAGAAGCAAATACAAAGCTCCCCAACGCCGTAGGCTGCGCCGACGGACCGCTCCCCCCTTCCCGTCTCCTCCGTCCTCGCTCGTCCTCCTGCTCTTCCCCCCCCTTTCCTCCACACCCTCCTCTCTCCTCTTCCTCCTCCTCCTCCTCCTCCTCCCGCCCTTCCTTATCGGCCTCCTCCTCCTCCTGCTCCATCCTCGCTCCCCCTCCCCCCTCCTCCTCTTCCTCGCTCTCCTTCTCCTTTCCGTATAAGTTATTACCCCCTGCCGCACCACCGGACGAGCCCGTAGGCCAGGCCGAGCGTTTCATTTGAGAGGTCTTTGCGCCTTACCATCCTGAATCTTTCAAGCTTGCAACACTTACTAAAATGGAAGGCTGGCCGTTTTTCAAAACGGGCTCTTGCCTTAGCGCCGGGCTCATTCGCCTTGAACGCTTGCAACACTTGCCAGTCTGGAGGACCAGCGGTCAAAAAAATGGGGCTCTCGCCCTAGCGCCGCGAATTAGTCCCAAAAGCTGGGGCAAGTAACAAGGACGGAGTGCGTCTCCTTTTCAATCGTGGTGGTTTTGCGCAAGACTTCCTCGAAGTTCAATGCCAAACGATTGAGTTGATGCGACAGCTGCACGGGAGCAGGGCGGCTCCTTCCAAAACTGGAGCTCTCGCTTCATACTTCCTCGACTTTGGTGATCACAGACGCAAATTTGTCAACACTGACACGCCGGACACTTCGTTGACCTTTCTGATCTAACCTGTCAGCATTCCTTATAACGCTCCCCCTCCACACTCTCCTCCTCCTCCTCCTCCTCCTCCTCCTCACTCCATCCTCCTCCTCACTCCATCCTCCTCGCTCTTCGCTCCTCCTCGCTCCTCTCGGTACGGGGGGTGGGCGCTCGCCGCAGCGGCCTGTCGGTGTTGCGGCGCCTCCCCGCGCCGTCCCCCGGCAAGCACCGCGCGCGCGGGAGGCAGCACGGGGTGTTCCGTGGAGTGCGCTCCGCCAGAGAGCAAGGGGGGGGGGAGGGAGAACGGTCGGGGCTGGGGACGCAATGTCCCTCTCCGACGCTTATGCGCTGCTGGGTGGGCCCGACCTTCGACCATGGCCCAGCTCTCCCCAGAATGCCGGCCGGAGAGCAGAGGGTGAGGAGGAACACCCTGGGGTGGACTGGCTCGAGGGGGGGAGAGGAATCTTGACGTGGAAGGCGACGCATCGCCCATAGATCGGTGATATGGGCCTCTGTAGCGAGGCCGCGCGTTCGTGGACGGGGTGTGCGCTCCGATTGGCGATCATTGGGGGACGATTGGGGTGCTCCGTGGAATGCGCTCCGCAAGGTGGGGCGGGGGGAGGACCCGTCAGCACCGAGCTGGGACAACGGATCGGATCGGGGAGCCAAAATCGAATCGGGTCGGCCGCCCCAAAATGCACAACACCGCCCATGGGATGATCGGGCCGCATTGGATTGCCGGGATGCCGGGATCGAGCCGGATCGAGCCAGGCGGCTCTGACATCGAAACGGATCGCTGGATCGGAATGAGCTCTGCACGGGTGCTCCGCGGAACGCCTTCCCATCTCCCTCCTTTCCATTTCCGCATCCCGGGCCACGCTGGTCTCGCCCAGAGCTCCCCGCCCCACCAAGGCCACACGGGATAGGGACCTTGGAAGTACCGCTGCCGCTGTAAGCCTCGTGACTGGACTCCCGTTCGCCCAAGGATGCCCCCCATGGCTAGAACTTCTTAGCCCGAGCAACAGGCCCGATCAGGCCTGCCGCTCCCTCCTCCTCCTCCTCCTCCTCTTTCTCCTCCTCCTCCTCCTCGTCCTCCTCCTCCCTTTCTCCCCCCCTCTACGGACCAGGGGCACCCGAGTGTGTCACCATCCACATCGCACAAGGGGACCCCTGGGCAATGGGGCTCCTCTCGTTTCCTCTCCCTCTCCCCCTCCCACCCTCTCTTCCTCGTCATCCTCTCTCCTCCGTCCCCCCTCCCCGGGAGGAAGCGAGGGAGCGAGCGAACAAGCGAAGGAGGGATGGGGGGGAGTGAGGGAGAGGGACAAAGGTGTATCGCGTCAAGTCCCGAGCGTGCGAATCGTGACAACACATGCCTCAGAAAGAGCGAGTGAGAAAGAGAGAGAGAGAGAGAGAGAGAGTTAGTTGTGACATGTGACTGCTAACGCTTCTGCCCACCCTGTGGGAATCCCACAGCACCGCTCTTCTTCTAGCACGCCTGCATTACAATCCTTCGGGGTGAGAAGCACACGCCTACGATTAACACTCCTTCTTGATCAGGACTGAGATCCTCTGCTGTCGCCCGCATCGCCCTGGCGGGTTTTTGAATCATAGCCAAGTCCCCAACTGCCGTTCTGGGCGGTTTTCGGCTTTCCAGAAGGATCTCGACGAGGAGCAGCTGATGAAGGGCCCCCTCGGGGGCTTGGACAACTGCAATATTCCAGTCCAAGACGTCAACATCTTCCACCCGGGTTCATCGAGATTCCCGTGCTACGCACCCGACCGTGCAAACCACTGCTCCCCTTCTGGCGTGTGTACGGTGTATCCCCTCGGCGCCTCCAGCGGCACTGCCTCGACTTGTGCGCCGCTCGATCCTCCAATCAGGGTGCCAGCACAATGACACTGCAGAGGCGGAGGAAACGAGGCATTCATCTCCAGGACGAAGCTCCGCTCAAGCAGAATAAAGAGGAGCACGAGGGGGAATATGGAGAAGACAATGATGGGGCGCCCGTTGACGGCGAAGTCACCGATATCAATTGATATCATTGATCTCGAACGTAATCTGCAGACAATATCAGGAATAACGCGTGACGGTAACACTTTCAATTGCACCAAGAACTGCACTTTCAAGTTGCCATGAGAAGAAGAAACATGTGGATGACGAGAATGAAGCTGCCCCATGCCCCAAACCCTACCGCAATGCCTGTCTCGCGCTGGCTGGCCAGGGGTTGCTCTGACAGCCCTATCGGCTGGCTGCGCTGGCCTCTCCCACGTGCACATTTTAAGTGGGCTGTCAACACACCCCGAGACAGGAACACGTAGCTAGCGAAATCAGCTGTGAACAAGTCTACGGGGAGCTGCTGCGGGCACCCTCGTGCCAGCTCTGCCGCAGGAGGTACATCCAAGCGACCGACGCAGCCATACGCAAGCAAGTGTTGAGGTCACGAGGTTATCTTTACGACCCCCAGGAGGGGGGAACCAACGACAGCAAATCATACAGAAGGTTCGAGACCCCCGAAGTGTGCAGATCGGCCTGCCGTCCCTTCTGTCAAGGCTGGGCTTACCACGTGGGTGGAAACGTCTCGTCTCGCGCGGAAAGCTACGACTGCCACATATTATCTTCGATCCGTGGCTCTGGCGGCTGATCCCCCGGCCATGCTAGCAGCTGGTTTTAGGGGTGGAATGGCCTTCGGGCCAGACACCTCTTTTACAGATTGGGCCTAGGCTCGCCGTTGAAGGTGGCCAAGTTCCCCTAGGTGATTTCATAGACATATAAGTCCGCCGACCCTGTCGGCGTGTGCGAGGGGCTTGGCTGTTCGAGTCGTCGTCTCCGTCGGTCGTCGCCTCCGTCGTCCCCTTTCCCTGCAGCTTCCTTCTCAAGCTCGTGAGCGAGAGAAAAATCGAGCAGTGTCGTAATCGAGTCGAAGGGAAGCCCCTTCCCTTCGATCCCTTCCCCGGGGGGGGGGGTCCCGGGGGGGGGTCCCGGGGGGGGTCCCGGGGGGGGTGGGGGGGCAGATTCGTTTCTCCTCGGGCGGCCTAGAAACCTCGAAAACACTCCAAATGAGGTCCCAATGCCCCAGATGGCCCCCGAGACGGCCCAAGAGGGCCCCGAGTCGCCCAAAGATCGGCCGAAAGCGCCCAAGATAGCCCCAAGACCGTCCAAGAAGCCTCCAAGACGTCCCTGGCCCCCTCCAAGAGACCCCCAGGAAGCCCCAAGAGGCCCCCACGAGGCTTCCAAGCGGCCCCTAAGAGCTTCCCAAGAGGCCCACAATCTACCCCCAAGAGGCCCCCAAGAGCGCTCGTCGTCGTCGTCGTCGTCGCCATTCAGGGTCGGCGGCACCGGCCGTAAGGCCTTCGCAATACACAAGAAACATCAAGCGCGCTTCGCGCGCTCAGGTTCTAGCGCCTGCTGGGTGGTCGCTGGAAGAGTTTATGGACAGCGCTATCATGAACAAGCACGTGCCATAGTCTTACCCAACTTCACCCTCACCCTTACCCTCATACTCCTCCTTATCATCCTATTCTCGTCATCGTAACAATCATCATGGTCATAAGCACCATCAGCATCAGCACACGCAGCATCAATGGGAACATCCTTGGCCAAGTGCTGCTAGCCATGCCGTCACGTCAAACTCGCGTATCAGTATCAACATAATTTTCATCCTCCTCCACCTCTTCTTCCTCCTCCTCCTCGTCATCATCATCATCACCATCACCATCATCATCAGCATCATCACCATCACAATCACCATCACAATCACCATCCCCGTCATCATCATCATCATCATCATCATCATCATCATCATCATCATCATCATCATCACCACCACCATCAGCATCATCACAATCATCATCATCCTCATCATCCCCATCATCCCCATCATCCCCATCACCATCCCCATCACCATCACCATCATCATCATCATAATCATCATCATCATTATCATCATCATCAGAATCACCATCCCCACCATCCCCATCATCATCATCCCCATCATCATCACCATCATCATCACCATCACCATCACCATCACCGTCACCATCACCATCATCATCACCATCACCATCACCATCATCCTCAGCCTCATCCTCATCCTCATCCTCATCCTCATCATCCTCATCATCCTCATCATCCTCATCCTCCCCCTCCTCCTTCTCCTGCTCCTTCTCCTCGTCATCATCATAAGCGTCATCGTCATCGTCATCGTCATCGTCATCGTCATCGTCGTCGTCATCGTCATCATCATCATCGTCATCGTCATCGCCATCGTTATCGTCATCATCGTCATCATCATCAGCATCATCAGCATCATCGTCATCAGCATCAGCATCAGCATCAGCATCAGCATCAGCATCAGCATCAGCATCAGCATCAGCATCAGCATAATCACCATCACCATCACCATCACCATCACCATCACCACCATCATCATCATCATCACCATCACCACCATCACCACCACCACCATCATCATCATCAGCATCATCATCATCATCATCATCGTTATCACCATCATCACCATCATCATCATCATCATCATCATCATCATCATCATCATCATCATCGTCATCATCTTCCTCCTCCTCCTCATCCCTATCATGGGTGTGAAGCTCCCTGGGTGTTTGTGAGAATAGTCTCTTGGGGTCTCTTGGAATCTCGCTTCGGGGCGTTGCGGGGGGCTCGGACGGGCCGTCGAGAGTGAAGGATGTTGGCCTCTTGGGAGCCTCTTGGAAGCGTATTGGGAGTCTCTTGGGAGCGTGGTAGGGTCGTCTTGGAGCCATCTGGAGCTGTCTGGGGCCGCCTGCAAGCCATCTGGGGCCGTCTTGGCGGGCTCGTGGACCGTCTCGCTGCTATGCTCGGCCGTCCCGGAGCCATTCTTGAAGGGTTCGGGGGGCCCCAGTCGACCGCAGTGGACCTCTCTGGTGCTCCTCTAAAGCCATTCTTGGACCATCCTGAGTCCTCAGAGGCCTCTCGGGAGCGAAAAGACGGGACCTTGAAACACCTTTTCGGCTTTTCAGGTTTGGGCCTCCTGGGGGCCTCCTGGAAGCCTCTAGAGGGCCTCCTGGGGCCGTCTTGAGACCATTTTTAGCTGTCTGGGATCGTCTGGAGGCCGGCTGGGTCGAAGTCATCTTCGGCCGCCTCGGAGCCGTCTTGAAGGATCTTTGGGGCCGCAGTTGATCATCTTGAGCGGAACTGGTGCTCCTCGTGAGCCATGTGTTGGACCATCCTGAGGCCTCCGAGGCCCGTCGGGAGTGAAAAGGCGAATTCTTGGAAAACCAAATGCTGTCATTGGTATTCCAAAGATGCTCATCTCTGGCGATCTCTAGGGCTGTCTAGTAGCCAGATTCGGCCGTCTCGGAGCCATCTTGCAAGGTCTTGTGGGCTCCAGTCGACTGTCTTGTGCTGAGCGGGAGGAGGCCTGCGGAGGTCTCCCGATGTTTTCGAAGCTCCCCGGAGTCCCACAAAACGACAAGGAGGGCAGGGTCCACAACGACCAGTCGGATGTTCCCAGAAGTGTCCCTGGCCCAAGGTGCCCCCAGGATCTCCAAGGAGGCCGCTTTCTCCAAAACACCCCTCACGAGGTCCACAGGGCCTCTAGGGCTCGATCGCAACGGCGCGCCCGCGGGGGCCGCAACACGCGGGCCGAGGCAGGCGCCTCCCCGCCTCCTCCCGCCCCCTCCCCCGTCCTCCTCTCTCCTTCCTCGTCCTCCTCCTCCTCCTCCTCCTCCTCCTCCTCCTCCTCCTCCTCCTCCGCTCCCTCCCCCCCTCATCGACGACGACCGACGACGGACAAACGACGAACGAACGACGACAGACGACCGACCGACCAACCAACGAGGGCCGACGACGCCCAGGAGCGGCGGCGGGTCGCGCGCCTTGCCGCAGTGCCGTCGCGCGCGCCCGAAGCGACGCGCTGCACGCGGTGCTGGCCGCCTCGGAGGCACGTCGTCGTCGCCTTCGGCCGTCGTCGTCGTCGTCGTCGTCGTAAAAGATGACGACGAAGATCGTCATCGTGGTTCGAGTAGGAAAGTCGGGGTTTGGGAACGCTTTAGGGTTTCCTGGACCTCCGAGGGCGCCCTCGTCGCCACGACCAGATCCACCTCGGAGATCTGGTCCGAAGCGCGCTCTGGGCGAGGTCGGGTGAGCGTCGTCCTTATCGTCGTTACCGTCGCCGTCGTCATCGTCGCCGACGTCGTCGACTTCGTCGTCCTCGTCATCTTCGTCCTCATCGTCGTCGTTGATCGTCGGTCGTCGGTCGTCGATCGTCGTCGTCGTCGCCGTCGTCGTGTCGGTCGTCGTCGCCGAGGGGGGAAGCACTGGGAGGAGGCAGGGAGCGTAGGAGTGGAGGGAGGGGAGGGAGGGAGGAGAGTCTGAGGAAGGAGAAGTTAGAAGGTTTGTGAGGGCTTCGATGGGATTTCTCCTCCGCCTTCCTACCTCCTACCCCACACGTCCTACCTCCTCCGTTTCCCGCTTCCCCTGCCACTTCCCTCGTCTCCCTCCATCCTCCCTATGCTTTCTTCACCTCTTATTCCTCCTCCTCCTCCTCCTTCCTCCTCCTCCCGCCCCCTCCTCTTTCTCCCTCTTGTCCTTTCACCTCTTGCTCTTCCTCCTCCTCCTTCTCCTCCTCCTCCTCCTCCTTCTCCTCCTCCTCCCCTCCACCTCTTCCTCCTCGTCATTGTGCTTGTTTCTTTCAGGTTTCTCCGCCTTTTCTGCCTCCTCCTTCTCCTCCTGATCTCCTGTTGGTGGTGATGATGCTCCTTCTTTCGTTCCCCTGCCTCTTCGCATTCGTCCCCGCCCTCGTTCCCACCCTGGGCCTTCTCGTCCTCCTTCTGTCCCCGTTCTCGCCTCCTCCACCTTGCATCATCCTTTTGACGAATCCATCTCCCCATTTGCCTCCCCTTGCGGCTCCTCCACCTCTCCCTTCTCCTCTTGCTCCGCCTTACCTGCTGCTCTTGGTGCCAAGAGTGGGAGACTGACCCTCGTTTTTTTTTTTTTTTTTTTTTTTTTTGTTTTTTTTTGTCCCCGCGTAGCGAATGGCCGGAAAATTTTGAATGCCTGAAATGATCCACATTCCGGCTGCCAAGAGAATCTGGTAAATGAGTCCTCTGGTGTGGTTCCAAGGGCCTCGGACGGCGCCAACAAAGTCTGCACAGAACGGCTGAGGCGGCACCTGTGGATTACCCTACTAGAGGGTCAACGCCAAAACAGCTAGGTGGACAGAGGCATTGCCGGGTGGACGCCGGCGTGTCGCACAAAGCGCGGGAGGGGGGAGGAGGAAAGAAGAAGAACGGGAAGAAGAGGGGCGACGGCGCAGTGCGAATGTCCCCGCGCAGCCCAAACGGCCGCCAAGAGGATGCAAAACAAAACGCACAGCGGCAAGCCAGAGGGGAAGAGGGAGGAAGGAAGCCAACGAAACGAACGAGATCGAAAGGAAGCGAGTGAGAAGGAAACTGACCCTCGTGTAGTCTGCCAGGCATGCCGGAGACGGCAAGACGTTTGTGGCCATACTTCAATTGATGACATGACGTCCGATAACACTGATACCATCACGCTGGACCCCACGAGAAAGCCCGTCATTCCAACGCACGGGAAACCACCATCGCCCTGATGGGCCGACCCGTAGAACCATCCGTTTGCTTGGTCGTGCCCGCTCCTGGCTCTTCTTGACCATGCCCTTAACGTCGCACTGGCAGTTTGAGCAACCACCGCCACTTGGAGGCGAGCGCACGGGGACGCGTGCTGTGTCACTGTCATGCTTTCTGATGGTGTGCATGTCTGTGGGGCGTGCTACTCCTGACAAAACACTCTAAGTGCTGAGTGCCGAATCCTTGCAGTCCTGCTACTACACATGTGATGAATGCGATGCGCCTGAGGTCGTTTAGTGCAACCATAATCGTATGGTGTATGACCAGTGATCAAAGAAGACGCTGACTACACTTCGTAACCGTCCTGATGTCTCTGCAGCATGCGTCCTTGCATGGCTCATATTCCTCTTGTGCCTGCTTAAAGTATGTGTGACATTCCACTGATGCCCGGGCAACATTACCGCTTGACCGAACTGCTTGCAGTGCAGCTCCTAGGCATCCCCCAGGAAGCCTCCAGCGTGACAACGAGTCATTGCCATTAACCTTGACCGTTTGTGCATGTACACTGTGAACCTGTGGTGCAACGGCTTGAACTCTTCATGCTGAGTCGTGAACTCTGGTACTTTGAAGTCCTCGACACAAGAGTCCTCATGCTGGGTGTAACCCAAGTGCTGACTGTGATGCGCCTCGTATTCTTCGCGTGGGAGTGAACGTATGACGCAGCAGTCTCCAGAAACAAGAGCGCGCAACACAAAGCAACAACAAACAACACCAAGGAGCATCAAGCAGTCGCGAACGACGGCAATCAACAGCATCAACAACAAGCGGCTCAAGCAGCAGTTCTTCCTGTTGTGCCCCGTATGAGCTTTTCAAACGCTTGCAATTTGGCTCAAATGTTTTTGGACTTATCGCCTTTTCGCTTCTCATCGGCTTCTCAACCTTGAAGCTTCAAGGTGGCCCCATGATGGTACAAGAGAGCCCCAAGACGGGCCCAGAATGGCTCCGAGACAGCCCTAAAGGCATGCAGACACAGCCCAAGAGAGCCCCAAGAGGGCACCCAAGAACAATTTGTCGGTCTCCGGCATGGGGGCCCCGATGATACGCCCCCCTTGCTTGATCGATGGTCTTCCGGATCGGCTCAGGAATGCCCCGACCCCAAGATGGCTGCACGGAAGCGCCGCTGCGGCCTCAAACATCTCCAACAACGTTCCAAGTGAGCTCCAATACGTTCACAAGAAGAGAAAGCCTTCATAGCTTCATGGTTGACTGCTGGTTGCTTCGCGCCTAGGCGCTGTGACGCAAAACTCAGGCGCCAATCATAAGCGCCACTGCGGCGCCTCTATCGGAGGCCCTGCAACCCACTGGGGGATGTGCAAGTAATGGGGCGGCTGCCCTTTGTGTCACTATATGTCCTAACACTTCCTGGGTGAGGACAATTCGCCTGGGAATCGTTGCTAGATGTGCTGGCGGAGATTCCTAACGAAACTGCAGGGTTTCACGACGTCAGAGCTTACACTCAGAACTGTTGATGTTTGGCCCAAAGAGAAGGAATCCAGGGCTACAGCCCTTCTGCATGGTAGCAGAGCCTGGTCTGTCACACGGTCAGGCTCTCGTTCTCGCACGCCGCGATTGCCACAGCAGAGGAGCTGTTGCAGAGAACAGTGGCGATGGAAGGGGTGGTTCAGCAGAGGAATCAGATACATGAGCTGGAGAGACAAACCCGAGACAATGCCAGACCAGCAGCAGCAGCAGAAGGAGCAGCAGTCGCAGCAGTTGATAGACCTGTCGAAGAGGCACGAGCCCAGATCCATCCAGAATCGTTGGTGGACACGAAGCTGCTAGGCAAGCCAGAGAGGTATCTCAGGTGCGTAAGACGAGCATGCCAAATACAAGGATGGCGTCACCTGGGAAAACTGGAATTTCGTGAAGACGGCTTACTCATGGCGGTGGACCCGCACATGGCAGAGTTGATGAGAGACGCTTCCAGAATCGACGCCGAGGGCTACGCGCACGAGGAGCTAGACGATGACGCCCAGCGAATGAACTCCAACCTGTACTACATCCTGGTGATATTATGCAAAGACAAAACACAGGGCACAGTCAAGAGCCTTCCCCCAGGAAGAGGACTCGAAGCATGGAATATTGTGTGTTGAGTTTGAGCCGGAAGCCCCGTCGAGATTCTCAGGCATGTTGGACCCGATCCTGTACCCTACTACTCAGGAGAGCGATCCGATCAAGGGTATCGTGTCGTGGGAGACGTTGGTGCAGAGAAAGGAGGAGCAGACGGGCGAGAGAGCCATGCATTCGATCACGAAGTCGGCGCTGAGTGCTCGGCTGATGCCGCAGAAGCTGAGAGAGCTTCTCATGTTGAACGCTACTCGGTTCGCATTGTGCGCGCTGGTGAGGGGTGAGGTGCTGAACTAATTGAGATCGAAGCAGGCGGCGCTGGCATTGAGCGGTCCAGCCCCGATGGACTTAGACGCTCTCGCGTTCGGAGGCGAAGGTAAGGACGGCAAGGGCAAGCAAGAAATCCAATTATTCGGCAAGGCTACCCCAGGGGTGTCTCAAGCAGTTCCACTCAGGTGCACAACGCATGCGTGCACAACTCATGCACTTAACCTCGTGCGTGCATGCGCTCAAGACGGCGAGCGGGTGGGTGTGGCCTCCTCGCCGAGCGGCGCGACGCGCCTCGCGGTCGGCGAGGTCGAGGGCAACCACTCTCTCTGGCGGGAGGGGAGGTGGAGGCGCCTGCATCATCTGGTTCCAACAACGCTGGCGCCTGCTGTCATACCGATGTGCGATGCATCGAAGCCTCTGCTTGAAATCTGTCTTGCACACGGGGCATACTCCACGCTCGTCGATATACAAACGTGCTGGACATCTGAGCTGATGCTTCATTCTCTGATGCATCTTGCGCGCCTTACTCGTGAGGAGGGCAGGGCGCTCAGAGCAGAGACCGCAAACAAAAGGGAATGCTGCAACTGTCTAACCTTGCTCGGACGACGACATCAACGACGACGACGAATCACAGACGGAAGTGTGAACAAATATCCGCAACACTAGTTCCCTCCACGCATTCAAATCATGCAAGATAAACTCATGCCAAACATCGGCATGGAGGAGTGGCTCAGGCAGTACGGAGAAGGCTGGTCCATTCTTCCCCACATACTGCAAGTCATTTTGCAACTGACGGACCCAGTCGAGGGCCTGCAATAAGGAAAAGAGTATGACAAATCCGCCAGCCCCCTTGCGGGGTCACAAGGCTGTAGGGCAAAGGTTTGCTGTTCCCTGCGCCAGTTCCAGTTTCCAGCTTCCAATGTGATAGTTCCACTTTCTGCTTCCGACGGT